GAATACAAGATGTACTTAAAATATTATCAAGTTCATGTGTCTATATCATATCTAGTGAAGTAGTTTTCATATTAGATCCGATTTCCAGATTCCTAGTCACTACATGATTTATTTTATCTGGAAAAATAGCTACTTACCTTAGAGTAACTGTGATTCTTTGAGATGTGTTGACTACACAAGTTCACATATGTGCACAGCTGGTCCATGCATGAGATATTAGATCCCTTTTAATTCTGGAAATGCACATGCAAATAGCTGTTCCCTCTGACCACAAATAAGGGACAAGCTTCAATCGTTACTCCACTTCTTCCAATGCAAATTCCTTATGAACTGAGCATTGGAGGGAAGATGAATAGGAATTTGTGTGGACAACACATCTTGAGGAAACACAGTGGCAGCTGAGTTGGCTGGAGGGCAGGGGGAGAGGGTTAGAAATCCTTCCCCCCCGCCCCCCATCAAAACCCACCCAGACACGCTCCACTCTGAAGTAGGATTCTTCTAACTAAATGTAGGCATCTGCAACTGAGATACATAGTCACTCTTTCAGTTCTTTTTGACAAATAGAAAAAAACCTGTTGCATCTAGCATCTACTGCCCAACTCATCTCATTCTACAGCAGGCACTTAACACAGGTCAGATGGAATACACCTTAAAAGTGCTTAATTTTGGAAAACAAGAAATTAAGAGTACCCCAGGAATTTAAGGGATAAAAGTCTTGCAAGTTTATGTCTCCCAGGTACCTGGATTCTACCATTCTGTGATACATATTTCCTTATACTAGACTTCAGGGGGAAGACAGAAAGGCTAAGAATAGGGGGATTATACCAGTCACAAAAATATAAAGCATGCCTGGATTTCTTTTTAATCAACTGCTAAGAACATTTTATCTATCATTACCTAAGGGAAGGATTCATCTGAGGCAGTTTTAACTCTGTTGAAATGCTATGCAACACGAACTTCCAGAAGACAGTTTATTTAGCACACCATCTTAAGAAAGATACCATCTGGAAAAGTGTCTATCTCTTGCTGATTACAGGTGGAGGGTAAGTACCTAGCTTTTACATTCTTAAAGATGGATGAATCCTGCCCTAAATAACTAAATTAACCAAATAATGTAAAATTCCTAAGGAAAGCTTTATGATGGACGTGGGTACTCCAGGTCAGTAAGAGGGAAGAAAGAGGCAATAGATACTGTTCTACCTTGCACTGTTAGCTATGGTGATCACAAGGGCATCCAATTAATTTACATGGTTTCCACAAAACACAAAAGGGCTATTTTAAAATGAAGCAATCTTATGTAAGTTTGGTCTGATCTTACATATGTTTGTATACCTAGAACAGAATCTGTGGACAACACTTCTTGAAAAAGAGTAAATGAATTTTCAATCTAAATGGATTATATAGTCACACAAATATCTCGTATCTGATGCACTGCCAGCTCTGTGCGCTGAGAAAAGAAGTACTCTCTCCTTTACATTTTTTCCCGTAAATTAATTTAATAAGGTGAATATTAGAATAACCATGGGTGCAGAAAGGGGTTAAAAAAAGGCACTTAAATGGCTTGTGTTGTCAAGAAAGTCAGTTGCCATACTATGATTCCAAGCAGTTACTTCTATCAAAAAAGATTTCCCTTAAATTTGCAAAGTAAGTTCATGAATGTTTCGTTAAGTACTAAATAAAATAGTCCTTGCTCTTATAAACAGAATCCACTTTTTCTATTTTTTTTAAAGGAATTTAAATCTCCATTCTTGCATGATGCCATTTAGAAAAGAGCATTCCTCTTGCATTGCAAGAAGACCTCTACTGTCACTGTTTCATTAAAATAAATCTTAAATATATCAACTGCGCTCTTAAATATTATCACAGAATTGCAGAATCACAGAATGGTTGAGGTTGAAAGGGACCTCTGGAGGTCATCTGGTCCAAACCCCCTGCTCAAGCAGGGACATCTAGAGCCAGCTGCCCAGGACCACATCCAGATGGCTTTTGAATACCTCCAATGTTGGAGACACCTCTCTGGGCAGCTTGTCCCAGTGCTCAGTCACCCTCATAGTGAAAAAGTGTTTCCTGATGTTCAGAGGGAACCTCCTGTGTTTCAGTTTGTGCCCATTGCCTCTGGTGCCTCACTGGGCACCACTGAGAAGAGCCTGGCTCTTTGCACCCTCTCTTCAGGTATTTATACACATTGATAAGATCCCCCTGAGCCTTGCCTTCTCCTGGCTGAACAGACCCAGCTCTCTCAGCCTCTCCTCATACGAGAGATGCTCCAGTCCGTTCATCATCCTTGTGGCCCTTCGTTGGACTCTCTCCAATATGTCCAGGTCTCTTGTACTGAGGAGCCCAGAGCTGGAAACAGTGCTCCAAGTGTGTACTCACCAGCTGGCAAACTCCCTTGACCTGCTGGCAACTCTATAAATTTGGATCTGCTGTTACTTAACCTGGCGATTTAAATGATCCTTTGCCTAATTTTCATCAACCCACACGCAATTAAGAATTTGGGCTAAAAAGTATGAAAGCACTCAGTGAAAAAAACCTCCAAAACATATTTGATTATGAAATATTTGATTGAGTTTTTTTCTTTCAATCTTCCCTTCAAATACTGTATAAATATGGAATGCAATACTTATGTCTGTATATTTTTAAACTGCATTGTTGGGTTTTCAGCACTAGAATCTCTTCACAAGCATCATGTAATATGAATGACTCTTATTTTGCCAAGGATTATCTGGATATCTTGTTTCATCTAGGTATCCTGCAGTCAACAGGATCAACTGCATTAACTCTGGGCTTTTTTCCCCCTCCCGTCCAGAACTGTGTAAACTAAAACTAACGTCCTAACATTTGTTGGAATTTGTGTATGATAGTATACCAAACCTATAATTATGATTTTCCTGAGAACAGATCAAATATTTTAAAATGCAAGTTCTAAGTATGGGAAATTTGATTATCTGTTGACAAATTCTCCCTGAAAAGTCATAAGCAAAGCAACCGAGTGCAAAATAAGCTTCTCTCTCTGATATATGAGAAAAATACAAAAGATTACAGTAATAAAAGACCAAAGCGTGCCAAAAGTTTAGCCATTTGAGAGCTTATATCTATCCAGTCCCAAATAGATGAAAGCATTGTGGGTTTTTTTTCTATGTATTTCACTGCTTCAGGGCCGGTGACTACTTGGGGTCCTGGACTTTTTGTGCATTGCTTACTGGATTGGATCCATCCAGATCTCTTTTCCATCAACCTATCACATGCCATGTGGTCATCATTTTGTACCATGACCAGAGGTGAGGGAATGGAAGTTATGGTGGACAGGACTAGGGAGAGAGGTATAGAGTGGACATAGGTGCCGGATAGGGATGAGAATTTTCCAGAGACGGATTAGCAGAATTTGTGTCAGAAAAAACTGAGGGCCCCATTGCTATTCTTGACTGGAGACTCCACTGGAGAAGTGGAGTTTGTCTCAAACTGCCAGGCATTCCATCAGGGCTGTGAGAAGGAATATAGTTCTTCCTCAAGGAAACAAAGCATGATGACATTAGTGCGATGTTAAACTCTTACTTTCTTCTCAAAGTCTGGGAGCTACTGATTTCTGCAGTGTGACATGCAGGGGACCAGCGGTTCTACCAAAATTCACCTGGATTGTTACTGGAATATCTTAGCGATATTTAGGAAGAGGATGTGGTCTTGAGCTAAGCATGTCAAACTGATGAATTTCACTTCCTAGTCATTCACTGGGAATTCTGGAGGCAACTCAGTAGTTTCCCTTTCACAACTCACATGCTATAGTCTCTGTGGGTATAGCCAGAGGCAGGCAGAGGCAGGCAGAGCGTGGAATGGCTGAGTCCTGCATTCTCCTGCATCGTCTCTGCATAAAGCTCAGGAGAAGGTGGTGAGGCTGTTCCTCAGAATCCAACCCCAGCACAGGCAGCAGACCTGGCCGAGGCTGTTGGCAGCAGAAACTACATTGTGTGCCATGGTATGGAGATGACGGGATTGCCTTAGCCTGCCACAGGCCACAGCATGAGGCCTCAGCGCTCACTACCTCTGCTTAGGCAGCCCCATTGCTCAGTGGGATGCTGTGGCATCGGCACACAAATGTCCTCAGACAAATGTTGCAGCAAGAAAAATGAAAAATTCCAGTGCTCAGGCACTGGAATTGGACAGCAGAGCTACCACTACCTTAGCCACGCATAGCCATAAGGAAGGAGGTTCACTCCTTTCAAAGCTCTTCTGTAGCTCTGTAGGGAATGCAAAGAAACACAAATAAAAAGTGTTTCCTCTCTCTCTCTTGCTGGGGCTGAGCAGATTGTCTCAGCAGTGTTTCCTGTGTTTGCCACAAAGAAAGCAAATGATCAGGATTAGGAAGTGAGTCATGATCACTTGGCATCACTGAGTATAGCCATTCTAATGCAAAGCCAATGCACTAGAGCATACACAAAACAAAAACCAAGAAAAAACCATGACTGAAAACAATTCCTTAGAGCGAATAGTCAAACATCACTGTGCAATAGAAAGAAACCTGTGTCAAAATTGTAACTGCCTCCCAAGCCTAAAAGCCCAAAGACTAAACCTAAGCAATCTCTTGGACTATTCTTGTTTTTTATCCAGAAACCCAGTGTGATAGAAACAGAAGTGACACATTGTTTCAGGTAACAAATTATTGCAATCTCATTCCTGTTATGTTTGAAAACCTCTTAGGGAACTTCAGGATCCATTGGTTTGCTACCATCAACAATAACCGTTTGTGTTCTTTTTGGCTCCTACTGCTGAAAATAGGAAAATCTCTGCAGGATCACCATTCTATTTTCTCCATCTACTAGTAAACATCTGCAACACTGGTTCCTTTATTCTCAGCTAATCTTTCCCAGTTTTCTTATTGTGTTTGCTTTTCACTTGAACTGCTCATCAAAAGGAAACATAATAAACTGTGAGAGCTATAAAATGTATTTATAAAGCCCTACTCATGACAAACTGATTCGTATAGTTATGCAAGAGAAACTTACATCATTGTCCTGCACATCAGTCACTGTATGATGAGGATCAGGATAGTACTTCAAAAACTGGGCTACATAGGTCATGACAGACTTTTCATCTGGCTTGTCAACATCCACATCTAGACAAGTATAGAACACGGTAAATTAATTTTTAGCTGAATGGCACAAAATGCTGCTTAAATGTCTAAACACTATGAAATAGCACATCTGATTTAACCCATGCAAGTAGTTCAAACTTTATTCAACTATGCATTAGGTACCTTCCGGATCAAGGAGCCTTGGAATTCCTAGTTCTGCTTCTGCGAGTGTGAAGGCTTCTTCCAGGTTTTCTCTATTTGACCTTCCCCTCACTTTCTCCATATCCACTAGATCTGGGCGGATGGCATGAATAACGGAATGAAATGCAACACCACTCCTCCAACTTTGTCCAAAATCTTTGATTTCAATTCCAACTTGCCTAAAGAATATGAAAGAAAAAAAAAGTGACTTGCAACAACATCAGGACTAGATGAAATAGGGGAGGAGACACAATGCTCCACCCAGTGGCTACCCATCATTAAACCTAAACCACCTGTTCCTGCAATGCTAATCAGGTCAACTACAGCTCCATCCATCCACTGCATAAATACGTTTCTGCCTATGAAGATCCGAGAGTTTTTTTGTCATATACATATTGTATTTGTCTCCAGTAGGCTTACTAGTGGCAATAAGCCAATGGCATTTTGAACAAATGAAGTGCACCAAGGTTCTCAAGGTTCTTGTACAACACACACAGAGTCTGTGGATGTGTGCAGCTCCATTCACTATTCTCTCCCTCGCTATAAAGCGCTTCGTATCTCCCTCCATTATAACTACTGCAGTTCAGTTAGGAACATCAGTATCATACAAAAAAAAAAAAAAAAAAAAAAAAAGACTGCATTAATCTGTTATCTTTTAAAATGAAAGCATGAACAGTGACATCACTGCTGTTCAGGTGAACATGTAACACACAAATTTCTTTATATTCTGACCAAAAGCATGAGTAATACTATAATTTCATATACCCAGAACACTTACGCGTCCACTAAAAAATAAACAGAAATGATCAAGAAATAGCAATATACAATGAGAAAGTAATCAGAACTGAATCACACTTCTGACTGCTTCTTTTAAAAGTAATTCTGAAAGGTATGGTGGTCCACAGACTGCAAGACTGTTTTTTACTTTGAGCATGCAAACTTCCTCTGAGGACTCACTTAGACACTAAAGTAGTCTTGCCATTGGGAGGTTCACAGCAACAGTAACTCTGAATGAAGGTTTCATTCAAAGCTCACTGTGAAACACTTTCACTGACTTTAATGAGCTAGTCCTTGCAAATTACAAAGTGAAGCAGGGCTAGGCAAAGTGTACCATCCTTCCTCTAGGCTTCTTTCAACACATTCCACCTACTCTTCCGCATAATGTTGACAGTTTCATTTGTATTTGTTTGTTTACATGTCTGGAAATTGCAGCTGACCACTTTCAGTTGTCTGTCTCTTACTGACAACAATGCAATAGGAAGAATGTCAAATTAGACTGTACTGCACTATAAATTACTGTATTCTATCTATTTATTGGAGAACTGGAGAAAGTCTGTATCTTTACAATTATATTTAATTTCTCTAAGGCACCATTCCGTCACTGGCCATTTCCCCTCCACATTTTGCACATGATTGATCTCTTCAAATAGCAAGTGATTCCTTAATTTGAACAAATAAATCCATTTTATTCTTTTACATCTTTGATTTTTATTTTCTTATTGTGGAAGCCATCAAACTACCATTGTATCTTTGATCTAATTTATGCCTTTTTTTATGCCTTTTTGGAAACAGAGCAAACGTGGGATAATTATACCAAATAAAGGAGAAAATTCTTAAGTTAACAAGAGATAGCAAGAAATAACTCCAAAATAACTTGGATTAAAAAGAATGAAAATTCAGGACAATTTTTGTAGTAATATGTCCCTTGTATCACAAAACTGCAGAATTAATAATTTTTCATCACCTGCCTTTCAACAGCAATGCCAGAATTTAGTGCTCCTACAAGCTCTGTCACTGAGGAATGCTAAGTTGGTGTGGGACTTGCATTGTCACATCGAGTGTTTTTGCAGCAGGACTAATACATTGTCATTCAGACAACTAATTCCCCTTTCAGTTCCTCATTCTGTCAAAGATAATCCCATTCATTATTCAGAAACTATAAAATGTGATTGCAATGCAATGCAAATAGTTATTTATTACTTGCTTGTTGTATGGTGGTAACATTTAACAGCCCCAGTTGTCAAAAAGAGTATGATCACAGGGAGGTGCTATATAAATACAGAGCAAAAGGACAATCCCTGACCAAGAGAGTTTAGAATCTGAAGAAAAAGTTTGCACTTAAGATATAAATTCGGTTCATTTGTAGGTTACTTACTTTGCTGCTGTGTACTGTATCCATTTTAACAAAGCCTTCCTGGCACTTCCTTGCACCTTGGTTACCACCTTCCGTTTGCTTGGGGGACTCGCAGTTTCTGAACTGACAACACTCTCCACAGAAGAAGCGCTGCTAGACAACGACTGCAGCTGTGGGAGGTTGCTAGTAAGCTCTTCAATCTGTGGGGAAAAAATGTTAATGGACTGTTTGTAGATAATATTCTTAATTCTCACCAGTTTCTTCAATAATTTCCTAATACAACTGCCAAAGTTGGGCAGAAGCTATGATTAACATGCTGTGTTTTATTTAACTGTACATTAAAGTAGCTTCAAAAATGCTAACGTATGTGCCCAGATGATGGTCTTAATTTCAGAAGTCCAGGACATGTAGCAATCATTGATTTTCTTGACACCCTACAGCTAGAACAATATGCAAGTGTGCCATGTTACCTATTATGACAAATTACCATTGAAATAGGAGACAATGGCTTACATTTAGTTTGAATTCAAATTATAAAACAATCCACTAATTTCAGAGGAGGCTCATTCAATTAAAGAATGGAAGTGACCTCAGTGATTTCATCTGGATAGTTCTTTATCTACCGTTGTACTGTTTTGGCACAAATTCAATTGCGGCTTTGCTTAGAGGTACCTTGTGAAGGAATAGTGAATGTACTGCAGGCAAAATGCATTAGTAGTGCTTGCCGAGGGTGTATGACAGTTATTCGCATCATGCCTTTCATCAAATGAAAATCATTAACTTGACTCTTTTAAGAACATTAAGTTGACTAACAATTTGGTTCTTGAACATGAAAAAGTTATATCCAGAGGACATTGCAAGATTGTCTGTGCTGTCTACCTAAAAAAAAGTTTCGTCACATCACAGAATGAGTCTGCCACAATGAGAACCACAGCTCTCACGCGTTTCTGCTTTCATTCATGTTAAAATGATGTATCTGCCTGTGACAAGTAGGGAATTTGAGTAGGGGAGTGATCGTGCCCCTGTACTCGGCACTGGTGAGGCCGCACCTCGACTGTGACAACTAAAGAAAAGCTCAAAAAATGACCCAAGTAAAACGGATGCAGAGAACTAGAGTTTCAGTAACTCTGAGAAGCATAATTTTCCCCATTCTTCTCAATGAGCTATAAATTAAAATAAAAATGTTAATATCATTCTTGCTAACTTTTTTTCTGAGGAGATCTGAACCACTGAGGTGTTGCACTGGTTGGCACTTAGGAGAACAGCATCCCTGAGAAATGAAAGCTACCTCACAAGAGAGCCAAAGCCAAAGAACTCCATAAACAAGAGCAACAAAGTCAGTTGTTTTTTTAATTGCTGAGCAGTGACTCATTTTGTTAACTCATATGGACAGGATTTAGAAAACCGTTTTTCCCTCCCACCTAACTTCAACAGAATGCAAATGATTTCTCCTCTACAAATTCAAATGCCTCTCAATCTATACCATTTACAGCTAAATTTTGTCCTTGCAAATATCTGCATCTCCCAGTGAAATCAGCATGTTTACGTGTATTGTTTGAAAATAATTACTGTCTGACATCAAATGCACTGGAATTAGACATACAGCACAATCACCACTGAGAGTGCTAAAGGTACTTGTACCAAGAATCCACAATTCTATTCTTTTCTTCTGTTGCTCTGTTGTATTCTTCAGAGACAGTGGAAGAATATGTTCCAGTGATGAAAGAACTCCATTCTATGCCCAGACCAATCTATTCCAAAGACAAATATCTAACTTTACCCAACGTGAAGCACCCGTACCATCAACTGCTTTATTCAGGATCAGATCCTCAGCTAATTATAAAGTGACTTAGCTCTGGTGAAAGACTGGAACTACACCAGTTCATATGAAATGATGGTCTGAACCATGGTTTGAGCAAGCTATACTGATGTATAAAAAATGTAGTACCTGAAAATATAAAATTATGGTCCACACCAAGCCAAGCACAATAGAAGGCCTGCCATCAGCAATATCAGTTGAGTTTATGTTGACAAGCTTAATCTATACAGGAAAGAAAACGTGTTATTACCACACACAAGGAATGATAACAATTACGAAACACATTTCAAATAGGTTTTATATTTTAATGCATTTTTGCAATCAAATAACAAATTTCTTAATTGAAAAAATCATTGAATGGTGCAATTTCACTTTTTATATATGTATAGCTATAGGTAATGAAAGATTTTTAAGACCATTGCATGATATTATTTGTAGAAAAAATATTTAATTTCAAGCTGAAAGAACAATAAAAATTACATAGAACCATTGTACAAACCGGAGATCCTCTGTATACAGACTAGCATGAAAAGCAAAGGGAAAAAGATGATACAAAAATAAGTTTTAAATTATTAATTATTAGGTAAATACATTAATTTAATTTTATAATGCAAAGAAAGCACATTTTTGGAAACTCTTACAACACAATTAATAAGGAAAGCAAATTAAATACTCCATAACAGATTTTAAATCATGCAGGGATTTCTTTCTATAGTTCTAATAGATTTGGAATGGGAAGAGATAGATTTGGAATGGGAAGAGGAACGTGAGTTTAAGAATAAACAAGAAAAGGAAAGGGGTGGGGGAGAAAGCATAAAAGAAAGATAAGAGAAAAAAGAATGCCACAGTTCTCCAATAGAGAGCCTTTTATTGTAAAGGATATTACCACCACTGATTAAGGCTCCTTTGCAAGACAAACCTGACTATAGTTATTTTAAAATAAGAAAAGACTTGGAAAAAATGAGTCATCCAAGGTCATATGAAGTTTTTCAACAGAAACGGGAACAGATTCCATGACTCTTAACTCTCAAATGCTAATCTATAGTCTGCATAAAGTATCACCCTAAAATAAACACACAAGATTAAAGGCAGTAAAGGAGGAGATAAAGAGTATATCATAAAGAAATTAACAGGTAGATAATGCTGAAGGAAATGGAATAAAACAGGCAGTATTGGAAAATTATCAAATATGTTAATATTTATTTCCTCAGCAAAACTAAGAGTCTGCCATCAATCATGATATAAATATGAAGGGCTGCTAAAATGTTCATGCACTGCGAGCTTGTTCATGGACAAAGGTTATGGAAAAACCTTGGAGAATAGGTTAAAGAAAAGCAGGAGAATTACTTTAGGGGACCTCACTTGTCTTCCCAAAACAGAGAAAAGACTGCAGTTCTCTGAATCAGCAGCTGGAAACCCACTAGATAATGTCAAGAGCAAACAAAAAATTGCTGTTCAGGGCTGTCAAGCTCTTTTCAGAATTAAAACCACAGGCTGCTTGGGAAGAGGCAGAGGAGAAATCCCCACAGGTTATATTTCCAATCCTCTCCACCAAGAAATCTGACAAAACTCTGGGAAAGTTGACACTACTTGCTTCTCTACCAGTCAATGAGGAAAATTTTCTATTACCTACCTAAAGAAAAATATACCAAGAGTCTCATTCTCTCAGCTGGACTAATTCCAACAAAAGCTTTTCTTTTTCTAGAAAGCGAGGTTTTTCTTATATGTTTTACAGATCAAAAGATTTACAGGGACTCAGCTAAAGCTTCTGATTAGGCTACTGTTCACAGAAGCATAGCCTATCTAGTCTAGTTACTGTGTTGCCTTTGTCTTATACTCCATTAAAATGGATCTGAAACTACAAAATATACTTTTCAGAATCACGAAATAAACAGTTTGGTCCAGAATGAAATCTGTTAATTGCCAGCTGCATTTTGCAGTATAACAGGAGTATTTGCAGAAGTGTTTGGACAGTGAAAATAGGAAGTTGATTAAACATGTAATAAACTGCACTTATGAGAGAGCCCATGGAGGAAGGAGACCCTGTCGGCACTCCCCAAAGTGCTGTGCACAGCCACCCATCTCCCTTTGTTCACCTTTGAGTACAGCCCAGGGACTGCGCTCAGCTACTGAAGAGGCATTTGTTGTCTGAACAGCATCCCCACCTCCTCTGGGAGAAAAAGGGTGACAGACTGGATAGATGCATCCTTCAGGCTGGATTCAACCTAGAGATCACCTGCTAATGGACACCAATCTACCCGACACTGCATTTTTCCAACTTCCTCTAGAAGAAAATCTGGCATATTGATACAAGGTACATACAAAAATAACTTGGAAAAGTCCAGACAAAAATACTCAGATATCGCAAGCAAAACCACAGTACTCCATTTCTGGCAATCTATCTTGATCCTCAGCAGGGTCAGTTACCTAGCTGCACTGCTATATTACTCCTGGGATCTAAGCTGGGTCATTCAGAGTTTGGGTCACCTGCTACATTGTGACATGTAGACTAGGGAAGCATGGGTTTTTTGCTCTTCACCCCAGCCTCGTCTTATTTTATACAGCTCTCACCAGAAAGCAGCTCTCTTGTAGCTAAGCCTCCACTCTCAGGCTGCACACGATATGGTTTGTATTAACAAACTGTACTACATAAACTAGTGAGATCGTGAGCTAAAGCTGAATTTTGCTTTGGTTATATATTTGTCTTTGCTTTGGTTACACATTTTTCAATTAAAAAAAGTTCTCTCATAGATTTCTTTTTACAGGCATCTGCTAAGATAGTTTCCCATGTAAGAGAAATATAATTAGGTCAAGATGCCATACGGTTAAAGAGAGGGAAAGAATGCCAAAACCCAACAACTCCTGGTGTACAGCACTGTGGAGACATAAAATTCATCAGGTGTTACATCTGCACTGAGAAAAATTGAACTAAAATGCAGAAATTAGAAGAACAAAATACCTGTAATCTAATTAAAAAAACAGATGCAAATCATTACAATAAAGAGAGAACAGTGAGGAAAAAAGGTAGAAGTAGATTGCTTTTATTTGATATTCATACCTAGATCACATTGAGCTTTTAGGTTTTCTGTCTTTTGTTAAATTTATAAAGTATTTTGTTTCATTTCTAAAATGACCACAGCACTGACTTTACCAGAATCGATCTAGGAATTAGTCTGAAGTCCTACCAAGCTAATAAGGGGTCACACTGTTCTAAATTTTCAAAGGTAGAAGTAGATTGCTTTTATTTGATATTCATACCTAGATCACATTGAGCTTTTAGGTTTTCTGTCTTTTGTTAAATTTATAAAGTATTTTGTTTCATTTCTAAAATGACCACAGCACTGACTTTACCAGAATCGATCTAGGAATTAGTCTGAAGTCCTACCAAGCTAATAAGGGGTCACACTGTTCTAAATTTTCATGTCTATACTTTCAGGGAGTAGTTTTGCATGTACAACCTAGTGAAGTCCATAAATCTATTCTTTTAATTATAAATTAATGACTCTGCTGAACTGAAGATCATTGTTCTTTGCTGAGAACAGCAACAGGGAAGAAGGGAACATGAGGAGCTGAAGAGCACATAAAAAAAAAAAATGGAAGGAGATCATCCAAGGTGATTCTAACTAAAAAAAAAAAGAAAAGTTTTACCCTATACATTGCTACGTATTAGTGTTGGAACTTGACATTTTTAATTTACAGCAACTTTTAGGCACTGTATAGAAACTGAAGACTGCATACATAGCTCCAATTTTGGAGAATAAGAACAGGTAGGTTGATACAAATCATACATTTAAGGAAAGAAAGAAAAAAATAAGGAAAACCCAGGACTAAGTGCTACCAAACCTACCCGTCTTCCTTCTAGAAACTTAAGAGCTGTGCCAATGTTGGCAACCCAGTGAATTCTCTTCAGCTGACGTCCCTGCTCACAAGGCTTAAAGAGAAAGAACAGTATAAACTCCAATTAGATTTATGTCAATTTGCTGCAAAAAACAAAGTTCCAGATTATTATAAATGCTGATGTACATAACTTAGTCTGATTTACATGTTAAAATGTTCCTTGGAACAGTCAAATTCTATTTTTGCATATACTAACAAGGAGGACCGACAGATATAGGGGACATAACTGTGACAGTTCTATTATTAAAAAGTTATGTCTTAATAACCTCAGGATGCAAGCTGTCGGCTTCAGCCCATAAACTTCATCAAATCAGAGAACTGTTTTTCTTACGTAAAATAAACTATTTCTCTTTTTATACACACACACACATATATCTATACACTCATATTTGAGAGAAGGCAACATTCTCTCAGTAAAATATTTTTGCTTGCAAAGGAGAAGTCAAGGTAGTTGTTATTTTTAAAAATCAGTCTGCAGTGAAGACATTTTACCTACAGGATTTTTATCCATTCTCTCTAATACCTCACTGGTGATAGAGAACTATCACAAACCCTCATTGAACAATGAATTTTGCTGAACCTCAGACATGTAGGCTAAAAAAAGACAGAATTCTTTGAATTAAATCATCCTAGGCTTCTAATACTCTACAGTGGAATTAAATTCCCCACTGCATCTCATATTGTAATGCAAATATACCACTACTATCATTTAAATTCCTGTTCATAAAGTTACAGATGGATGTAACAAAGGCCTGCTATAGATTCTGAAATTCCTCTTGCAGTTACTACAGAATATCATATTCTGCTATACATGACCTTTAGATTAACCAGACATTATTCTGGTTCTGTGATGCCTCTTGTCTTTCACTAATTAATGTGGGCAGGATACAATCCAATGAAGTTCATTGTAACAGGTGTCGTCATTAAAATTCTTTTCCTGTTTTACTACTTCTGTTTTGCCACAAGAGGGAGACTTTCTGTCTTAGACGAACAGAAACAGAAATAGGTATATTTCAACAGAGCAGAAACACACTTGAAAGTATTTTTTTTTTTTTCTCATCTTACAGTAAAATTGCTCTGGCGGTGTGAATTACTACCTAATTTTGGGCATCACCTGCAGCCAAAACAGAGGTGAAATATGAAAAAGGGGCAAAAGTGTGGCACTTGCAAATTGCCTGCATGTGAGGGAACAGGTAACATCTGAACCATAGAGCAAGCCAAATGACGGACTGTGGCCCTACTCTTTCAGATGCTGCCACCTGATCTGTGAGCTGGTTTGGAAAAAGTGAGAGCCCTTAGCCTAAAACCCTTTCGTTTTTCTCCCACATCACATGCCCAAAACCAGCCTGGCTCCCAAGAGACAGTCTATTTGCCATGTACATGCCCTGGCCTCTGTACACAACTTGGCTGTGAAAAAGCCATTTGTCATCAGTTAAGGTTCTTTACAGCAGCAGAGCAGCTGCCAAGGTAAATGGATATAAGACCCCATGAAATTTGAGGGGCTCACAATTTTTTTCCAGAGAAAAAGCCGTAAACTTAACAAGAAAAGACTGTCATTATGTCTTCAAGATGTATAGAAGTAGTTGCAGTTTAGACCTTGTCTGTGTCATAGTAGTAACACCCAGATGAACTGCAAAGACTAATACAAATAAGCAATTTTTATGAACTAGTAAGACAAAACTAACAGAAAATGCATAAAATCAAGAACGTCCATCTGTAATCATCTTTTTTGTTTGGTTTTGTAACCAGATAGCCCACTCTGTGAATAAACTTATTTTGCTATGTAGCAGTCAGGTTTTTTACGGTATTCAAATATAGAAACATATTAGAAAATTATACCCTAGAGAAGTTATGCAACTATCATGTATATTCAGAAGGAAGGAAGTTCTTACCAGCTTCTGCCCTGAAAGAACCTCCAAAAGGGCAATTAGCATTACCCCATCTTTAATATCTTCAAACAGATCATTCACCAGCATGGGAGGATTGCGCTGAAAAGGGAGAAGACTTCAGATATTATAAAGGCTCACCAGCATTACATCCTCCCTCCCTCCCTTTCAAACAGAAACACAAAGAGTGGCTGGTCCCCTTCTTTACGTTTTATACTGTTTAATATCAATGTATCATTTAACCATTGCTTTGCCACCATATTGTTTAACTATTTAACATTTCTGGCGCAGGACTGTAACACTAGATGCTTTCTGCCACTAACGATACAACGGAAAAACCTCCTGCTCCCTAAAACAAGCAAAGAAACACACCAACAATTGCCTATGAGTCTATAAAATACGCACAACTTACTGATGTACTATTACAGTCACATTTCAATCTATCAGGATATTTTGCCTAGTGCTAAGTATGTCACAGAAATTTCACTCTCTCAGTCTGAGAAATACAAGGAGCTACATGAAGGAAAGATCCCTAAAGCAGTGTGGCTGGTTGAGCAACACTGCTACTTTCTCACAGCTGACAGTTGTTACACTAAGTTGCTGTATTTTCTCTCCTCTCCTTGCAGGCTTCCAGTGCTGTTAGCACTGTGTCAGCTTCTACTTAAGACAAATTGCTTAACATATGTCTTCACGTTTGCAAACACAACAACGATAATACTGAAAAACCTGTAAACAGATGATGTTTTAGGAATTTTGAATAACAAGGTCACATCATTAAACTCGATCTTCTTAAATACATCCCAGTTTGTGGAACTATGGCTCTCAGCTGGTCAGTACTTCAATGATCACAAAATATCTCTTAGAAACAAAAAGTTTAAACTTGGTCCAGCTGAAATAAATGAAATAAACACCCGCTAGCTTCCATGAGCTTGTCAGCATTCACATAGTACTAATATTTATACCTGCTAATTCACTAAAATGACAATCAGACTACAAAATTCTTGAAATTAGTTTAGGTTTAATAATTTACTTTTGGGGTACTTCTGAAAAAAAAGATGAATGTACAACAACTTGGCCTATTACTTCTGTTCTGTAGAAAAACAGATTTGAAAAGATGAACCTAACAAATGAACCACTGCTCTTGGAAAGGTAGAAATGCTATAACAAATCAGGAGAAAGCAAAGGTTTCTAGTTCCCAAAATCAAAACACCCTGTCTTCATTGTTCAGCTTGAATGAACTAATATTTCAGTGAGACACAATTTTGGCATAAAGTGGAAAAAGAACTCCTCTGCTGAAAGCAGACTGCATCTGAGATTTGACGTGCTCTAATAGCCACAATAATAAAATAGTCTATTTTCTCGTGTATATAAAATAAAGCAATATTACAACTCATTACGAGGGTGTATTTAATCATAGTTCTTTTTTATTTCCTAGCAATGCAATAGATAATGGATCGTGTTCTTCCTTAATATAGCACCAAAGAAATCAATGGAGCAAACAGGTCACTGGAGATTAATTTGTCCTCGTCTTGCATTACAGGCAGTTGATATAAATGCAATTAATTTCCCTCACCTTCTCTGTTACCATTTCCTATTTGAAGTTTGGAGCAACTTTGGCTTTATCAGTATTATAGCATGATATAATACTGAAGAATTTTGTGCTAAAACAACTCAGCAATAAAGACAAGAGGATTATAGCAGCTGCCATCCTAATCCAACAGGAGGTGAAGGCTTAAAAAATTTCACCACCTATCTAAACGCCCCAGTAGTGAGGTTTGTCTCTTGAAGCTCACTCTACAGTAATGAAGAGAGACAGGTTCTTATAGAGGGCGATTTAGGATACATTTAAATCGAAGAGTAAGTGAGATTTACAGTGCCCCACAAGCCGGTGCCCATAACATGCCTGTCAGATGACCTGTTTGAGCGCAACACAGCTCCCTTCCAGCTCGAGCGTTTTGCTATCCTTACTCTCAAATCAGGGTACAGGACAGACTTTGCCTCATCCCAGCATGAAGTCAAAAGTCATCTGGCATTCATATGCAGACCAAGTCTGGGAAGCACCTCTGGTTTCCACAGTGTATAGCTTCACACAGTAGATATAACCTCTGATTGCCCACATCAAGCTCTTGCTCTGAACCACCCTTCCCTGAGGCATGGTACTAAGGTAAGGCCGTAAAAGTATCCCTGAAGACATCATTCAAGTAAATTAACACCTACAGTACTTTCCTTTCGACTTGAATCGAACATTGGTTCGGGGAAAACTAGGGGAAGTATGAGAAAGCATTGAGTAAGATGAAACACAATAAAGAAACCATCAAATGACTTACACCAAAGTCACTAAGACCTACTGCTCTGAAGTGTGATAATCACAACAATTGCCCATAAATCAGGAGGCTGAAATGCACTTTTTGTTGCTGGAAGGTTGCATAATTACAAACACTGCCAGTGTTTAGCAGCACACACCATGTACCTTAACACCAATAAAACAGGAACAGAAGGCAGGTACAACAGCTGTGTCAGAAGATCTCCTGTATGAGACTCCTCTAATATGGAAAATTAGTTAATTATACAGACTGCCAAAAACATTTTGCATATTACACTTTATAATATAATGTTTTTCACTACTCTGAAGATGTTAACACCTAATTACAAGGAGGTAAGACCCTCATTGTGTTTCATAAATCACTTTTTTTTTTACTACTCTGGGCACATAGCATAGAATTTACCCTATTATTATGACTCCAGTCTCTCTCAGAAGTACGGAATGAGTTATATTTTTAGTGGCATATATAGAAGAATAGATTCCTCTTTTACATAAGGATTCCGTAAATACCAATCTTATTCTCCATGCCGATGCAATTCAGGAAGATATACATACACTAGCTGATACTCAGAAGTTCATACACCCTTATTTATTGTATACGGACCATCACACAGGATGGCTCGAGCTACTTGACTCTTCTTCCAGGCAGATCCTCTACTGAGATTAACACAACATCTTCTGTTGAATGGATAAATACCTACTCCTTGGCTGCATATATAATGTCAAATGAAATGAAAAGACAAAGCAAAGCGGTACATTGCTTACTTATTAGCCTCCAGAGAAGAAAGTTGTTTTTTTTTAAAGATGTATTCAGTTAAAATCTATTGCATACTTTTTATTCTAGATACTCTACAGGACTTAACACCTATTCACTTAGTTGCTTAATGCACAGCCAAAATACTAACTGTAAATCAGTTAAATCAGGGAAAGAAAACTAACTTAAAATTTTGTAATCTTGAAAATGTTGAATGTACTCCAGATTCTGGCTTTTTGCATGCAAATGTATAGATCTAGCAATGCAATCAACTGAAATGATCCTAATACACTTTATTTTGAATGTTGGAAAGCCTGTGCAAAGAAATTAATGAAGTCATTTTTAAACCAGGAAAAAAGAACATTTTAAAAGTTTATGAAGTAACCTCTCAAAATCTTATAATATTAAAGAAAAGCTGTTATAAACTTCTTGAACAAAATTCTTTGAGGAGACTCAGAATATACTTCGATGAACAATCGGACATTGAATCTACAACTTGTCATGTCTACACTAAGATTTCAGATGCCTTAGTATTTGATTTTGTTTTTTCATAAGCTTCTTCAAGAAAGCAAAATAATACTAAAGATATGCTACATACTGCATTGCATGTATTCTATTAAACACTCATTTATTGCAGTATATGCAATCACAGTAGTGTAGTTTATAGCGACAATGACATTTAGGACCAGTCATGTCACAAAGAGGGAGGCACACTCAGTACAAGTAAATTCATGTGCTCTGTAGGAGGAATATGAATTGGGAATGAATCTTAAAGGTTAATGAACCAGATTTTTCCCATATTAAATATTTATTTAAATAACTGTATTTAGAATTGATGACAAATGGGAACTGATGAGGAAATGCTTTGCTTAAACTTCTTGCTCTTCCAAACATCTAATTTGCTGTAGTGATCAGGACAAATTCTGAATGATTTAAAGAACTGAACATCAGTATGTATGAAAAGTATTTGACTGACAAGCCTCAAAAAAAGAGATTTATAATAGACCTGCAATCTCTAGACATTCCTCCTCTGACACAGTAAAATAAGTTTTGTAAAATCCAAACCTCAGATATGGAACCAATGTATATTTGCTAAGCTTTATTCTTCTATTCAAACACCACTTCTTGCATTTCATTTCTCACTTGCATCTTTGCTACAGGAATCTTTTCCTCACACCCTGTACTTAACTTCTCTAAATGAATAAATCATACTATACAAACAACAGTATCTGCATCATAATGAATGCCAATGCAAACATTGGAAACTACATTTGCTACATTATTTTTCAATTAATGTTTCAAAAACTGCTGAAAAAATGTGTGAAAACCTATCCACATGCACAAATAGGAACAAATCTGTGTAATTACTGAATTTGTCTCTGCAGGGAAATACATATGAGAACAGGAAGGAGAATGTGAAGTTTCAGAGTGACTCTGTAATAGCTGGCCCACCCCTCCACCCCAATTTAATTCCTAAATGCTTAAGCACATAGGTTTTCATGTTCCTTGCTGTTAATGACTATTTTTATTACTAACGTCTGAGGGACTCAGCCCTACATTTTACATGATCAGTTTCATCACACAAATTAATTCAGTGTTCACTGTTTAACACTAGAGGTTACATGCAATACTAGTGAAAACATACAGTGACTGTTGGAGCAGAAAACTGCCAGTCACATTTTCCTCATCATGCAGTCAAGATGGACATTAGCTTAAATTTTTTCTGTGTCAGTGACTAAGATACTGGAAGCCTCTGTTTTCCCATTTGAAAAAGACAAAAAGACACAGAATTACTTAGTTCATTGATGAAAATTGATGAGGTTCTTGTATGAAGACCAAGTTACATTCTAAGAACAAGCTACCATCACTGACAGCATTGTGTGTGAGAGCTGTAAATCTTGATATACCCATTTCTTTTTCTTCCTTTCTTTGCTATAAAACATATCGTTTTGCAATTTCAAAAGCCTTAATTTAAGGTTTAATGCCCAGGTTTAATTCAGCATTATGAAAACATTGCGTAAGTAT